GTATTTAATTACGGTAAGTTAGTTAAAAAATGTTTAAAAAAAATTTAAACAGAAAACATTCTTTTATTTTGAAAAAAACTGCTGATTAAGCCCTTTTTACTATAAAAACAAAAAAATGATTTGTACGTTTTTATTTTCATGAAAATAAAGTTTAATATTTCAGAACACGATCAGTTTCTTTAAAATTCAAAATCAGTTTAAATATTTTACTAACATGAGGTCTGAGAGGATCCAGCTGATGTAGAGACGGACAGGTCCTCTGTGTCCTCGTGGTCCACTGTAAGCCTCTTAGAGTAATGCAGCTCCTGCTGAGACTGCAGGACCGGACTGCTCATACCTGCTCGGACCCTGATACTAAAGACCCAGATCGTCTCAGACCAGTCAGACCGACTCGGCTGCTCTTTTCGGATGGTCCATGAGTCCAGGATGTGGAGAYGTGGTGGCCATGTGGGACGTAGGACTGAGTGACGGGGTCTACAGGATCCAGTTTTCTCATGGAACCACCACAGGGAAACGGGTCRTCTACGTCAACGGGAAGGTGAGGTCCTGTTTGAGTCCGGGACTGGATGGATGTTCTGTCTGTCCCCGTCTCATGTGGACAGGGTTTGGGTTATAGTTGGTTCTGATGTTTTCAAGAGATGCTGAAACATTTCTCCAGTTTTTAAATATCCGGGTGTCTCTGAAGTTTCTGTTAAAACTAATAATTCTTTAAAATCTGTAAGAAGTTCTGGTGTAACCACAGCTAGGTGGTTGTCCTGAGGGTCTCCTGTCCACAGGAAGTCCTCAGGAGGGACTGGATGTTTAAACTGGTTGGGACAGAGACCTTCAGGGTCGGACCCTCTGACACTAAAGCCACCATCAGCATCGAGGCCGTCGGTGGTCTGGCCTACGAGTACTCCCTCCTTGTGGACGGGAAGAGTCTCCAGAAGTTCATCGACAACAGAGCCAAGACCACCCAGACCTGGGTGGTCCGGGTGGATGGGACCGACTACAGGGTTGTCCTCGGTGAGTCCAGTGGTCAGCTGGACCCTGACCTGCTGTACCCTAGTCAGATTTTAGGTGGACCAGGTAAACTGTTCTGGATCTAGACTAATGCGGTCTCCTCTGTCCAACAGAAAAGGACACCATGGACATCTGGTGCAACGGACAGAAAATGGACACGACGGTGAGACTCTGTCTGAATTTAGCAGAAAGTCTTACTTAAAGTTTAAAGAACAGAATATATTTGGATTCACTGGTTCCATAAGAAGCGTTGGTCCCTGTGACCAGGTTTTACATTTATACCCTGGTCGTCTCCTAGTCTGATTTTTGTCCTGGTTTCTGTCTTCAGGGGGAGTTTGTGGACGATGGCACAGAGACCCACTTCCTCCTGGGCGACCACAGCTGCTGCATCAAGGCCACCAGCAGTGGGAAGAAGAAGAGTGGTATTGTTCACAGTTTATTGCTGGATGGACAGAAGGTACCGGACCAGAGATCAGACCAAAGACCAGATGGATCAGTTCTGGTCTTTCATACAGACTCTGCATGAAGTTTTACAATGGAAGAGTTTTTGTAGTTCAGTACTTGAGAAAACTTTTATCATAAACTTAGTGGTTTTTTTTATTTGTATATTTGTGTTCAGAATAAAAGTCTGACACGTGCAGCTGTTTGTTCTCAGATTGTGCTTTTATTTTGTAGATGGTGGTAATTATGAAATAAATCTGAAAAACCTTTTATTTTTAAAATCAGAAGGAATACTTGACTGAATATAAAGATAAAAACAATAACTGAACGAAAACAGGAAGAGTACATTTTACGGTTTCAAAATAAGAGCCCATGAATTTGACTGATAAATTTCACATCAGACGTGAACTTAAAGCTATAGTGGCTTAAAAATAATTAAGATTAAGTTGTATTTTTAGTTTTACCTACTGGTTTTTAATTATAAAACAAGTAGATTTTTCAAACTGCTGGATTTTGTTATTGATTTGCAGAGTTTCAAACTTATTTTTAAGATTTATTAAAATGTTGACACTTTTGTTC